CACTGTGTATAATGAGAGAAAAAAACTGAAATCATGATTTTTCGATTAAAACAGCAACTTTGCAGTGTTTTTTCGTATGTTTTTTATAGTTGTATTTGCGATTTCTTGGTCTCATTTGATAGAATGGAAGACATATTACAGAAATAGAGATGATTTTGATTGGTTTTAGCACTGGAAATGGCTTGAAACTGAGCTCAAAGTAGCGGAAATGTTAAATTTTTGCCGATATTAAAGAGTAAACAAAGACCTCACACGTCTAATACACGTCAGCTGGTGGGTCTAATATACATTCACAAATATGGTGATGATATTTATACAATTATTACAGTATTGCATAGCAGTAAATCTTCTATTTTTTGGTGTGAATAAAATTCATTATGTGAATAAAAAATCAAAATGGAATTTATTTGTAAAGCCTCAAAACATGACTAATGAACAGAGGAAATGTTAGTTTAGTGCCAGGAATGCCTACATTGTTTATTCTGGACCCTATTTTGAAATTGGAATATTTTGAACTTTGTGTTAAATTGGCCAAATTAACAATTTTCCCGATCACTTTATTTTGTAGTTGAAACAGTTGACTTGGCGATTTCTTGTGCTCAATCGATAGAATAGAAGTAATACTAGTGAAATAGCTAAGAATTTGGTTGATTGGAATAATGTAATTGGCCTAAAATGGGAGTCAAAGTCGGCAAAATCGCCGATTCGTAAATATCGCTGACACATCAAAATTCGCGAGAGCATAATTTCGTCAATTTTCCACCAAATTTCGTACTTTTTGTTTTATTACCTTCACAAAAAGATTCTCTACGATTTCATAAGAAAAAATAACAAATTTTTTTTTTGAAAATTCTTGGACACTGGTGCGTGACTCCAGATTTGGGCCTTGGACCCTGAAAGGGTTAACTTAGATTACATACAGCATGGTGGGTTACTATTTGTTTGGTACAATTTTGTCAAGAAATGAGGATTTTCAAAAATTTACGATTGTGCTCACACGAGCCACCATTCTTATCCAACCACTTGGACACTGATTCTCACATTTTTTTCTTCTTGGTTATGACATTATCACATGCATTTATCTTGGTGTACTTTGTTATAGTCTGATGCTTTCAATGTGTTTGATAAAGTTTGGAGAGAAAAATTAAATTCAAAATTATGATTGTGCTCTCATTGAGATGTTTGGAATGTACAGGTATCCCTAATGTTCCCATGTGTTATTCATTGTATTTAAAGTAATTTCATTTTAAGTATGGATTTTCAAGATTTTAGTAGTAGTAGGTTGGTAGACAGCAACCACTCAGGGAGGTACTACCGTCCTGCCAAGTGAGTGTAAAACTCACTCATCTGAGTTTTCTTAGATTTTATCTTAATAGTTCTTGGTCTTATTACTTTTCCTTTTATATCCATGGGGAAGTGGAATAAGAATCTTTCCTCCGTAAGCCATGCATGTTGTAAAAGTCAACTAAAATGCCGGGAACAATGGGCTAGTAACCCCTTTTCCTGTAAAGATTACTAAAAAGAATAAGAAGGAAATTGTCAAAGTGGGAAGTCTGAATGTGCGTGGATGTTGTGCAAATGATAAGAAAGAGATGAATGTGGATGTTATGAATGAGAAGAAACTGGATGTCCTGGCTTTAAGTGAAACAAAGCTGAAGGGGGTGGGAGAGTTTCAATGGAGAGGAATAAATGGGATTAGGTCAGGGGTTTCAAATAGAGTTAGAGCTAAAGGAGTAGTAGCAATAATGTTGAAGGATAAGCTATGGCAGGAAAAGAGGGACTACAAATGTATAAATTCAAGGATTATGTGGAGTAAAATAAAGATTGGATGTGAAAAGTGGGTTATAGTAAGCGTGTATGCACCTGGAGAAGAGAGAAGTGTAGAGGAGAGAGAGAGATTCTGGGAAATGTTGAGTGAATGCGTGGGGAGTTTTGAATCAAGTGTGAGAGTAATGGTGGTTGGGGATTTCAATGCTAAAGTGGGTAAAAATGTTATGGAGGGAGTAGTAGGTAAATTTGGGGTGCCAGGGGTAAATGTAGATGGGCAGCCTTTAATTGAGCTATGTGTAGAAAGAAATTTGGTAATAAGTAATACATATTTTATGAAAAAGAGGATAAATAAATATACAAGGTATGATGTAGCATGTAATGAAAGTAGTTTGTTAGATTATGTATTGGTGAATAAAAGGTTGATGGGTAGGCTCCAGGATGTACATGTTTATAGAGGGGCAACTGATATATCGGATTATTATTTAGTTGTAGCTACAGTTAGAGTAAGAGGTAGATGGGAAAAGAGGAAGGTGGCAACAACAAGTAAGAGGGAGGTGAAAGTGTATAAACTAAGAGAGGAGGAAGTTCGGGCGAGATATAAGCGACTATTGGCAGAAAGGTGGGCTAGTGCAAAGATGAGTAGTGGGGGGGTTGAAGAGGGTTGGAATAGTTTTAAAAATGCAGTATTAGAATGTGGGGCAGAAGTTTGTGGTTATAGGAGGGTGGGGGCAGGAGGAAAGAGGAGTGATTGGTGGAATGATGAAGTAAAGGGTGTGATAAATGAGAAAAAGGTAGCTTACGAGAGGTTTTTACAAAGCAGAAGTGTTATAAGAAGAGCAGAGTATATGGAGAGTAAAAGAAAGGTGAAGAGAGTGGTGAGAGAGTGCAAAAGGAGAGCAGATGAAAGAGTGGGAGAGGCACTGTCAAGAAATTTTAATGAAAATAAGAAAAAATTTTGGAGTGAGTTAAACAAGTTAAGAAAGCCTAGGGAAAGTATGGATTTGTCAGTTAAAAACAGAGTAGGGGAGTTAGTAGATGGGGAGAGGGAGGTATTAGGTAGATGGCGAGAATATTTTGAGGAACTTTTAAATGTTGAGGAAGAAAGGGAGGCGGTAATTTCATGCACTGGCCAGGGAAGTATACCATCTTTTAGGAGTGAAGAAGAGCAGAATGTAAGTGTGGTGGAGGTACGTGAGGCATTACGTAGAATGAAAGGGGGTAAAGCAGCTGGAACTGATGGGATCGTGACAGAAATGTTAAAAGCAGGGGGGGGATATAGTGTTGGAGTGGTTGGTACTTTTGTTTAATAAATGTATGAAAGAGGGGAAGGTACCTAGGGATTGGCAGAGAGCATGTATAGTCCCTTTATATAAAGGGAAAGGGGACAAAAGAGATTGTAAAAATTATAGAGGAATAAGTTTACTGAGTATACCAGGAAAAGTATACGGTAGGGTTATAATTGAAAGAATTAGAGGTAAGACAGAATGTAGGATTGCGGATGAGCAGGGAGGCTTCAGAGTGGGTAGGGGATGTGTAGATCAAGTGTTTACATTGAAGCATATATGTGAACAGTATTTAGATAAAGGTAGGGAAGTTTTTATTGCATTTATGGATTTAGAAAAGGCATATGATAGAGTGGATAGAGGAGCAATGTGGCAGATGTTGCAAGTATATGGAATAGGTGGTAAGTTATTAAATGCTGTAAAGAGTTTTTATGAGGATAGTGAGGCTCAGGTTAGGGTGTGTAGAAGAGAGGGAGACTACTTCCCGGTAAAAGTAGGTCTTAGACAGGGATGTGTAATGTCACCATGGTTGTTTAATATATTTATAGATGGGGTTGTAAAGGAAGTAAATGCTAGGGTGTTTGGGAGAGGGGTGGGATTAAATTATGGGGAATCAAATTCATAATGGGAATTGACACAGTTACTTTTTGCTGATGATACTGTGCTTATGGGAGATTCTGAAGAAAAATTGCAAAGGTTAGTGGATGAGTTTGGGAATGTGTGTAAAGGTAGAAAGTTGAAAGTGAACATAGAAAAGAGTAAGGTGATGAGGGTGTCAAATGATTTAGATAAAGAAAAATTGGATATCAAATTGGGGAGGAGGAGTATGGAAGAAGTGAATGTTTTCAGATACTTGGGAGTTGACGTGTCGGCGGATGGATTTATGAAGGATGAGGTTAATCATAGAATTGATGAGGGAAAAAAGGTGAGTGGTGCGTTGAGGTATATGTGGAGTCAAAAAACGTTATCTATGGAGGCAAAGAAGGGAATGTATGAAAGTATAGTAGTACCAACACTCTTATATGGGTGTGAAGCTTGGGTGGTAAATGCAGCAGCGAGGAGACGGTTGGAGGCAGTGGAGATGTCCTGTTTAAGGGCAATGTGTGGTGTAAATATTATGCAGAAAATTCGGAGTGTGGAAATTAGGAGAAGGTGTGGAGTTAATAAAAGTATTAGTCAGAGGGCAGAAGAGGGGTTGTTGAGGTGGTTTGGTCATTTAGAGAGAATGGATCAAAGTAGAATGACATGGAAAGCATATAAATCTATAGGGGAAGGAAGGCGGGGTAGGGGTCGTCCTCGAAAGGGTTGGAGAGGGGGGGTAAAGGAGGTTTTGTGGGTAAAGGGTTTGGACTTCCAGCAAGCGTGCGTGAGCGTGTTAGATAGGAGTGAATGGAGACGAATGGTACTTGGGACCTGACGATCTGTTGGAGTGTGAGCAGGGTAATATTAGGGGAAGGGATTCAGGGAAACTGGTTATTTTCATATAGTCGGACTTGAGTCCTGGAAATGGGAAGTACAATGCCTGCACTTTAAAGGAGGGGTTTGGGATATTGGCAGTTTGGAGGGATATGTTGTGTATCTTTATATGTGTATGCTTCTAGACTGTTGTATTCTGAGCACCTCTGCAAAAACAGTGATAATGTGCGAGTGTGGTGAAAGTGTTGAATGATGATGAAAGTATTTTCTTTTTGGAGATTTTCTTTCTTTTTTGGGTCACCCTGCCTCGGTGGGAGACGGCCGACTTGTTGAAAAAAAAAAAAAATTCAGGATCATAATCTCTTTTGTTAAACAATGTTTCTTCACTAAATAATAGTCACACTTTTGCTTTCTTTTCAAGATTTAGGCATTTTAACATTAGGATATTTGTAAAAATAGTGAGGAGAAGAGCTCGTTAAGATAAGAGAAGCAATAATACTATCCTTATAAGCCATTTTTTGTGTATTACAGGTTGGAGACAAAGGTCAATCTGGGCCAGCAGCAGAGCACAACTGGTCTGACACAGCCAGTGAAGATCAGCCAGACAGTCCCACACAGTCCCGCCAAGCAGATCATGAATATCATGAAATTTCAGATGAAGAGGAACCTTTACCCAAGGTGAAGTTAATATAGATTTACATAAAAATATTTTTCAGTACTGTATGATGTTAGTTTAATGAAAAAATTCATCAAGGTAGTCATTAGGGAAAAAATCAGTAGTGAACATCTGATTTATATAGCAAATGAATAATGTTATATTGCTCCTTGTACTGAAGGTAGCATGTTCCTGTTAGGGTAGTCTCTTTCAAGTACAGTGGACCCTCGCCTAACAATATTAATCCGTTCCTGAGAGGTCATCGTTGGCTGAATTAATTTTTCCCTTAAGAAATAATGGAAATCAAATTAATCCATTCCAGACACCCCAAAGTATGAAAAAAATTTTTCCCACATGAAATATACATTTTTATACACCCAAAAAGAAGAAGACATGCACAGTTACTACTGTACTAAATGAAGAATACATGGCACTTACCTTAATTGAAGATCTGGTGATGATTGATGGGATGGGAGGAGGGGAGATGGTGGAAGTTGTTATTGTTTGGAAGGGGAATCCCCTTCCATGAGGACTTGAGGTAGCAAGTCCTTTTCCAGGGTTACTTCCTTTCTTCTTTTAATGCCACTGGGGACAACTTGAGAGTCACTGGACCTCTGTTGCACCAAAAATCTGTCCATAGAGCTCTGTACCTCGCGTTCCTTTAAGATTTTCCTTAAGTGGCTCACAACATTGTCATCGTAAAAGTCACCAGCACGGCTTGCAATACCTGTGTCAGGGTGATTTTCCTCCATAAAGGTTTGCACATTTGACCACATTTTATACATTTCCTTAATTTCCTCAGTTTTGGCACCTTTTGCAAGAACAGCTTCCTTGATTGCCGTTTTGTTGGCCAAGATAGTAGCGATGGTTGATTGGGGTTTGGTATACAACCTGGCCAGCTCCGAGACACGCACTTCAATTTCGTACTTTGCAGTTATCTCTTTCTTCATTTCTGTACTAATTTTCACTCCTTTTACCACAGGGTTGGCACTAGAAGCTTTCTTGGGGCCCGTGGTGACTTATTTTGCAGTTACAAGCACTAAAAACACTGGGATAATGTGAAATGTACTGAATGTATGCGTAAATACGACTGCACTGGCTGGCTTGTAAACACTGGCACCCGCGGGGCAGCTGAGGCGCACTCAGGCCACACGTGGACGGGTCCCAGACAAATCACATTGGGCGAGTTTTTTATTGTTAGGCGGGGCAAAATTTTTAGGCTCAAACACTTTGTTAGGCAGATTTAACGTTATGCAATGCGTTCGTTAGGCGAGGGTCCACTCGGTTTTCGTGATTAATTCGTTTCAGAAAGTCTGACGAAAACCGAATTGTATAAAAACTGAAGCAATATTTCCCTTAAGAAATAATGTAAATCCAATTAATCCATTCCAGACACCCAAAAAATATTAACAAAAAATGCATTTTATAGAGAATAACTATAGTTTTACGTACAGAAAACAATGAGAAAGAAATATCAATGACTAATGAAATGGATAAATGAACATTTAACATCACTTTTACCTATATTGAAGACTCTTGTTGGTATATGGAAGATGGTGAGGAGGGGAGAGGGAGGAGGAGAGGTTATTGTTTGGAAGAGGAATCCCCCTCTATAAGGACTTCAGGTATTAAGGCCCTATCCAGGGTTACTTCCCTTCTTTGTCTTTTACTGGCACTAGGACCAGTTTGAGAATCACTGTATCCCTTTCTCACAAAAAATCTACCCAGAGAGGTCTGTTTCTGGTGTCTCTTTAAGATTTGCAAAATATGGGACAAGGCATTGTCATTGGACATTGATGCGGACTTCCTGTACATCCTGGCGAGATCGGCGGATACGTGTATGCCACTTTCATACTTTGCTACGGGTTCTTTCTTGAATTCTATCGTGTTTCTCACCTTCTTTATCAAAGGGCTGGCACTCGGAACTTTCTTTGGCCCCATGGTGGCTTATTTAGCAGTGGCACTCAATAAACAAACAGAAAAAACAATGGATTATTAAGAAATGTTTCAGATGAATGCGTGGGGTAATGTTCACTCAAAGAGAAACAAAGCAAGACTGAGTCAGAACGCGTGGGATGCTTTGTGTAGGCGTGGGCAGGCGGACGCATTTAGTATGGCAGACCATTGTCAACTCTATAAAAACCAAGCGGATGTATGAAAACTGAGACAAAATTTTGATGAAAAAGTCATCGAAAACCAAATCCTACGAACACCAGGGCATACAAAAACCGAGGTTTCACTGTATGTGTTTATTTTGAAACAGTTTGTACCCTTTGTGAGTAGGTGTGAGTGCACTGTTGCTATATTTTGTTCAGTAACACCAAGTTCAAAAAAGTATGGAAATAGAATACTACATTGCACAGATAATCTAATTTAGAATTATTTGCTATTCTGTACAAGCTTCCTCAAATCTGAGAAAAAAAGTACTCATTAAAAAATAGTTTAACACTTTTTAATAAAATAATATGAATAAAGTTATAGATGCTTACTCATGGTACAGGTAAAAAAAAATTGTGAGAAGGACCAATAATTTAAAAAATTTAAATAATGTCCCATAGAATATTTACTAATGAACTAAAATCTTAATTATAGCTATGTTCTCTTAACTGGTTTGGTACACTTGTTATCAACACCTCTACAATTCAGTGTTCTGTGTTTGTCTCCATTTGTGAATATGTATTGGCATTGCATTTCCCACTTTCCAGTCATATGGTAATTCACCTATCACTAATGATTTTTTTTTTTTGTGACCTGCAGGTTTGGCATACACAATGTTTTAGCTCCTTTTCCCAGTAACACCAGTGATATTCAGTGATATTCACCAGTGATATTCAGAGAGCAATACTGTGCTTGCCACCTCTTTAACTCTTGAAGTGCAGCTAACTGATTTACCTAAATTTTTTCATAGATATTGCTTCTCTCATACTCCAATAGCACACAAAATCCCATAGCATACATTACTTGTCTCCACTTCGAAGAAACATGCTCATTTTTTTTTCTATATATTCTTTTACCTTCCATCCATTACAGATATACACACTTAAATCAGTTTGGATGTATTTCCTATACATGATCAAACTGTCTGAACAAGCCATCATCATTCTTAAAATTATACCTTTCATATCACCACATTGTCTTCTAGTTTTTTTATTGTTTAATATTTACACCACACATTTCCACTTTCTCCAAGCTCCTTGCTGCAACATTCAGAAACTAATTCACACCCATACAGATTGCCAGTACTACTATTCTCTAATACATACTGTACAGTGCAGAAAGATTATAAAAACCTGAAGGAAATTGACCAAAGTGACAAAGAAAGTGTGAACATTTTCATGATGAATCTAAGAAATTATCAGAATGTTGAAATATGATACTGTTTCATTACTCATCATATTTTTTTTTTTCTCTGGTAGCCTTTCCGGAGTAGTTCTTTTGACCTGGGCCCAAGTTTGATGGATGAGGTTTTCAAGGCTTTGGGTGGCTCTGCTTCATCCGGTCCATCTTCTCTGGAACCCCCATGTTCTCTCCCTCCTCTGACCCCTACTCATCAGTCACAGGCTTTACTTGAAGATAACGAAAGCCATAATGTAAAAAATGAAATTAAAGAAATGGCTTCAAAATTCAGCAACAAGGATAGCTCAAAGAAAAAACAGGCCATGGTTAGTATTTTTTGTGTACATTAGTATGAAATCAATCATTCTCTACTAGGATGCTCAGCAGTCTTTGTATATCATTGTCCTTATATGAGTTCTAATTTGAGGATATCACATTGGAGGGAGGGAGTATGGAAGAAGTGAATGTGTTCAGATATTTGGAAGTTGACTTGTCAGCAGATGGGTTTATGAAGGACGAGATTAACCATAGAATTGATGGAGGAAAAAAGGTGAGTGGTGCTTCAAGGTATCCGTGAAGACAAAAGCGATATCCATGGAGGCGAAGAAGGGAATGTATGAGAGTATAGTGGTACCAACACTTATGTGGGTGTGAAGCATGGGTTGTAAATGCTGCAGCGAGGAGGCTGGAGGCAGTCGAGATGTCCTGTCTAAGGGCAGTGTGTGGTGTAAATATTATGCAAAGAATTTGTAGTGTAGAAATTAGGAGGAGGTGTGGAGTTACGAAAAGTATTAGTGAAGAGGGGTTATTGAGGTGGTTTGGTCATTTAAAGAGGATAGAACAAAGAATGGCTTGGAGACATACAAATCTCTCGGGAAAGGAAGGTGGGGTAGGGGTTGTACTAGGAAAGGTTGGAGGGAGGAGATAAAGGAGGTTTTGTGGGTGGGGGGCTTGGACTTCCAGCAAGCATGCATGAGCATGTTAAATGGGAATGAATGGAGATGAATGATTTTTGGGACCTGATGAGCTGTAGGAGTGTGAGCAGAGTAATATTTTTGAAGGGATTCAAGGAAACCAGTTAGTTGGAATCGAGTCCTGGAAGTGGGAAGTGTAATGCTTGCACTTTAAAGGAGGGGTTTGAGATATTGGCAGTTTGGAGTGACATCTAAACTGTCGTATCTGAGTGCCTCTAAAAAGACAGTGATTATGTATGAATGTTGGTGAAAGTGTTCAATGGTGATGAAAGTTTTTTCTTTCTTTTTGGGTTTTTCTTTCTTTTTGGGTCACCCTGTCTCTGTGAGAAACTGCTAACATGCTGAAAAAAAAATGTGTAGTAGATGAGTGTAGTGCACATATATCTTTTAAATCTTTAAATAGAAGCCATTATGTGACATACCTAGTGATCCTGACATAAAAGAAGACCTGCTTATGAAGGGTTTTTTAATTTTGCATGAGCTTTATATTTCATTTTAAATGTATTAACACTTTTAATTAGTTTACTACTTTTTTTTTTTACCACTGCCAACTAACCAAATTTTATATGGATGTAGGTGAAACCTATCTCTGCAGCTGATCAACGTACTTTGGATTCGGCAATAGCAATGGCCAATGAACTTGCTTCTAAAAGTATGCTAGAACTGGACTGCAATCATGAGAGCTCAGCAGACTCTGAAGGAGCACCAGATTCTCCCATCACACCATCATCCCCGACTAAGCATGGTGGATCACGTTTCTCTTTCAAGTTAGTAATGATGCTTCCATTATTATACTGCACAGGATGATATTCAGAGACTAGGATAAATATGTAAAATAAATAGAAAATTAAATAAGGGTGGTAATTGTGCACTAATTATTGCACAAAGTTGAAAGATAAAGCAGTAACAAGGGAAGGGGTTACGTATCGCTAGGTATTTTGTTAGAAATATGTAGTACTGTATACATATATAAAATTTTCAGTGATGTACCATTCTCTGTTTGCCAAGTGGGACCTTTCCTACATTATCCTTATTATTATACTTCTAGAATCCTGAATGGGAAGTAAAAGTGCCTCACTCTGAAGAGGGTTTAATGTTGCATTTAAAACTGTAGTGTAAAGCACCCTTCGGCAAGACATGATGGAGTAATGATGTGAAATTTTCTTTTCGGGCCACCCTGCCTTGGTGGGAATCGCCATGTGATAAAAAAAAAAATGTAAGTGGCCTTCTTTAACCGGTTTTTATGTTCCTGAAAATGGAGTGTAGGTAAAACAGTGTTAAGAACTGAAGAACTTGTAGGAAATAGGGTTACATTTGAAGCCCAAAAAAGCCAAACAACTTTTTTAAGGGCCCCCAACTTTACAAAATAAAAGTGAATATGTAAATTGTAGTTCATTGTTGTGGTGTATTTGTTGTTTTAACGGCTTTAAGACTAAGTTAACAAAAAATAGTATTTCTTATTTTAAATGTGTGCTGTGTTTTTTGGATATTTTGGGAAAAGAGTGGGGAGTTATGTGTGGCCTACTAGTTGAGGTGGATGGTAGAGTTTGGTGCTGAAGTCATGGTTTACTGAGTGTCCCGACTTAAGTCATTCAGTAAGTCATAAAGGCATTCACAAGCCATTCGTCAGTCAGCAAGTCATTCAATAAGTCAGTCAGTTAAGTCAGTCAGTCAGTCATTCATAAGTCATCATCATTCAGTAAGTGTCATTCAGTAAGTCAGTCTTCAGTCAGTCATTCAGTAAGTCAGTCAGTAAACACAACTTTCATTTCCTCTTTTTTTGTACAGAGTAACACTAATTATGGCACAAGTTATGTTTGTTTAATCCCTTAACAGTCCAAACGTATAATACGTTTCTCCCCCGGCCCTGAATATTTTGAAAAACAAAAAAAAAAAATTTTTTTTTTTTAGAAAGAGAGAAAAATTTAGAAGTGTATAAATAAAAAAAATTAGGTCAGTACTAACGAGATAAGGCTGCCAATTGGCAATTAAGCTCACCTGACGGCAAAATCGTTCCGCCGCTTGGGAAGGTTGCCATATACCATTTTTTTCATATCTATATTATTTTATATAATTTTACGTTTTATAAGACAATTTATTGTAGTTCTTGATTTCAAACCAATTTTGTTCTCGCACTAATATTAGTACTAATTTTTACTCAATATCGCAAACACATTGAGAGGTGACATTTACACCTGCCTGGTCATTTACTATTGTCTAGAATTTTTTTTTTTTTTTTTTTTTTTTTTTTTTTTTTTTTTTTTTCAACAAGTCGGTCGTCTCCCACCGAGGCAGGGTGACCCAAAAAAGAAAGAAATCCCCAAAAAGAAAATACTTTCATCATCATTCAACACTTTCACCACACTCACACATTATCACTGCTTTTGCAGAGGTGCTCAGAATATAACAGTTTAGAAGCATATACGTATAGAGATACACAACATATCCTCCAAACTGCCAATATCCCAAAACCCCTCCTTTAAAGTGCAGGCATTGTACTTCCCATTTCCAGGACTCAAGTCCGACTATATGAAAATAACCGGTTTCCTGAATTTTTTTTTTTTTTTTTTTTTTTCAACAAGTCGGCCGTCTCCCACCGAGGCAGGGTGACCAAAAAAGAAAGAAAACAATTTTCTTCTTATTCTTTTTAGTAATCTTTACAGGAAAAGGGGTTACTAGCCCATTGTTCCCGGCATTTTAGTTGACTTTTACAACACGCATGGCTTACGGAGGAAAGATTCTTATTCCACTTCCCCATGGATATAAAGGAAAAGTAATAAGACAAGAACTATTAAGATAAAATCAAAGAAAACTCAGATGAGTGTGTATAAATAAATGTGTACATGTATGTGTAGTGTGACCTAAGTGTAAGTAGAAGTAGCAAGACATGCCTGTAATCTTGCATATTTATGAGACAGACAAAAGACATCAGCAATCCTACCATCATGTAAAACAATCACAGGCTTTCGTTTTACACTCACTTGGCAGGACGGTAGTACCTCCCTGGATGGTTGCTGTCTACCAACCTACTACCTACTTTCCCTGAATCCCTTCACTAAATATTACCCTGCTCACACTCCAACAGATCGTCAGGTCCCAAGTATCATTCGTCTCCATTCACTCCTATCTAACACGCTCATGCACGCTTGCTGGAAGTCCAAGCCCCTCACCCACAAAACCTCCTTTACCCCCTCTTTCCAACCCTTTCGAGGACGACCCCTACCCTCTTTCCTTCCCCTATAGATTTATATGCTTTCCATGTCATTCTACTTTGATCCATTCTCTCTAAATGACCAAACCACCTCAACAACCCCTCTTCTGCCCTCTGACTAATGCTTTTATTAACTCCACACCTTCTCCTAATTTCCACACTCCGAATTTTCTGCATAATATTTACACCACACATTGCCCTTAGACAGGAATCTCCACTGCCTCCAACCGTCTCCTCGCTGCTGCATTTACCACCCAAGCTTCACATCCATATAAGGTGTTGGTACTACTATACTTTCATACATTCCCTTCTTTGCCTCCATAGATAACGTTTTTTGACTCCACATATACCTCAACGCACCACTCACCTTTTTTCCCTCATCAATTCTATGATTAACCTCATCCTTCATAAATCCATCCGCCGACACGTCAACTCCCAAGTATCTGAAAACATTCACTTCTTCCATACTCCTCCTCCCCAATTTGATATCCAATTTTTCTTTATCTAAATCATTTGATACCCTCATCACCTTACTCTTTTCTATGTTCACTTTCAACTTTCTACCTTTACACACATTCTCAAACTCATCCACTAACCTTTGCAATTTTTCTTTAGAATCTCCCATAAGCACAGTATCATCAGCAAAAAGTAACTGTGTCAATTCCCATTTTGAATTTGATTCCCCATAATTTAATCCCACCCCTCTCCCGAACACCCTAGCATTTACTTCTTTTACAACCCCATCTATAAATATATTAAACAACCATGGTGACATTACACATCCCTGTCTAAGACCTACTTTTACCGGGAAGTATTCTCCCTCTTTTCTACACACCCTAACCTGAGCCTCACTATCCTCATAAAAGCTCTTTACAGCATTTAGTAACTTACCACCTATTCCATATACTTGCAACATCTGCCACATTGCTCCCTCTATCCACTCTATCATATGCCTTTTCTAAATCCATAAATGCAATAAAAACTTCCCTACCTTTATCTAAATACTGTTCACATATATGCTTCAATGTAAACACTTGATCTACACATCCCCTACCCACTCTGAAACCTCCTTGTTCGTCCGCAATTCTACATTCTGTCTTACCTCTAATTCTTTCAATTATAACCCTACCGTATACTTTTCCTGGTATACTCAGTAAACTTATTCCTCTATAATTTTTACAATCTCTTTTGTCCCCTTTCCCTTTATATAAAGGGACTATACATGCTCTCCGCCAATCCCTAGGTACCTTCCCCTCTTTCATACATTTATTAAACAAAAGTACCAACCACTCCAACACTATATTCCCCCTGCTTTTAACATTTCTGTCATGATCCCATCAGTTCCAGCTGCTTTACCCCTTTCATTCTACGTAATGCCTCACGTACCTCCACCACACTTACAGTCTGCTCTTCTTCACTCCTAAAAGATGGTATACCTCCCTGGCCAGTGCATGAAATTACCGCCTCCCTTTCTTCCTTAACATTTAAAAGTTCCTCGAAATATTCTCGCCATCTACCTAATACCTCCCTCTCCCCATCTACTAACTCCCCTACTCTGTTTTTAACTGACAAATCCATACTTTCCCTAGGCTTTCTTAACTTGTTTAACTCACTCCAAAATTTTTTCTTATTTTCATTAAAATTTCTTGACAGTGCCTCTCCCACTCTTTCATCTGCTCTCCTTTTGCACTCTCTCACCACTCTCTTCACCTTTCTTTTACTCTCCATATACTCTGCTCTTCTTATAACACTTCTGCTTTGTAAAAACCTCTCGTAAGCTACCTTTTTCTCTTTTATCACACCCTTTACTTCATCATTCCACCAATCACTCCTCTTTCCTCCTGCCCCCACCCTCCTATAACCACAAACTTCTGCCCCACATTCTAATACTGCATTTTTAAAACTATTCCAACCCTCTAGAAATATATACAAGTATTTATAGGTCCCAGCATTGTTTTGTATACACGGGAGTATAGAAGAAGGAGGAAGGAGGAGGAGGAGGAAGCAGGAAGAAGTATAATTGTATTTGTGTGTACCTGTGAGACATAAAAAGAGATAGACAGAGACAGATAGGCAGAGACAGATACAGAGATAGACAGACCCTAAACTTGGGGTTAACATCACTTAATATGACATTACATCAGTGAATCCTTGGTGTTTGACACACTGTTTGCTTGAGCTGGCACTCAATTTAACTGGTGCTCCCATAAGGGATATGTATGCTGACCAGGCATCTCAGGCCAATCGTGCCAAATTTGAAGGAAGGAAAATTAAAACATATATATACGTTTGGGGCACAAGCAGTAAGAATGTATATATACGTTTGGACCGTTTAGGGGTTAATATCCTTGTTTATTTCATTAATTCTAAGACTTAAATACTTAAACCTTTTCTTGCCACTGAGCAACACTGGTATGCCTACTGGGTGTCATGATTGCTTGGCAGATACAAGATATAGTAATTAAAAGATCAAAACACAATTCACAATCACAGGCTTGTAGCAGAGAAGTTGGACTGGACACACATGAAGTACAAATGCTGGGATGGTGGGGTGGTGTTGGGGGGTGGCTGGGGATGGCGGGAGGTCTCCCCTGCTGATCCACAACAAGGCGGTCGCTTGAGGAAAATGGAAGTTTTTTTTCCCTTCCCGTAAACTGAACCATGTTAAATTAATTTTCCGACGTGTTACATAAAATTGTGCCGCAATTCTTCAATTGTGCTATACCCAAATCATGCCAAATAAACTCGTGCTAAATGATGGTCTACTGTAATAATATTAAAAATTATAGGTTTATGATTACTCGTCCCAAGCTCTTCAGTGACCTCAAGATTATTTATGAGTCTCCTTTTCTGTCAGAACTACACAGGTTAAATAGATTATTACTGCTAGTTGGTTCTATCACAAACTGTATTAAAAAAGCAGTCCTAGATAACCTCTAGGAAGTCATTGACCTCTAGATTTCCAGTCCACTTGGCTGAAATTAAAATCTCCCAAGATTACTACATTTTTGTACCTTGAAAGCTTAATAATTTTGTCCCCCAGAGCAGTATAGTCTAACCTCGGAGGCTTTTTAAGTTTGGGGGTCAGTATAACACACCTTTAATGAACTTTTATATCCTAGAATTCTACCCAGACAGATGTCTGTTCCTTCAGCCATTGTATTTGTTTTTATGCACCATTTCAATTTTTCTCAGCCATATAGCATTACCTCTTTCCTCTTTTTTCCCATTATTTTTATCAACATAGAATAACTTAAAGCCCCAAATGTGGCACTTGGCAAACACATCCCAACTCTTCAAATTAAACTATGTACGTCTCAGTGACTGCAACAACATTGTCACTTTATGCACATGAAACCATGTTTCTATCTCTATGACTATTTGGATAATACATGCTAAGAAAGCTGTTCTTCAGTATCTTCTTTCTACTCATCTATACCTTTCCATTATTTTTTGGGTTATCATCATTGCTCAGTGTTTCTGAATGGATTTCTTTTCCATTGCCTTGCTTAATATTGACTTGAGTTTTACTTTAATCCCTTGATAACTGTTATTTTAAAAATCCATAGCATCATAATTGTAATATCATTAGTGCTTAAAGTACCCCAATTCCATCTTTTTTCCATACACATCCATACCTCTATTTTTTTCATTTTAAGGGCTAGTACACTGCAGAAACAGCCACCTTCACTGAACTATAAATGCACCCTATCCCTGGCATATATGTCATTCCTACTGCAGTAGTGGTTCCAGTTATCAATAAATGGTACTGCAGTGTCTCTACAGTACTTGTCCAGTCAGCAGTTATCAGCAATTACTCTTGACAACCATTCATTGCAGACACTCCTTCACAGCAAACTACTGTACCATATATGGCTTCTATCCCTCCTATCACCTCCTATCCCTTCTATCACTTTCCTATAAGTAAATTTTCTCTCATGATTCCCAAGATCATTTCCTTCAGCAGTGAGGAAAAATAATAGGGTTACTTTCCTTATCAGCTATGATGCTTCCTAAGCTGCTTCCTATTCCTGTTACAAAATGCCCTGTGTTATGCCTGTGTGTTTTGTTGCAGCTGTCAAGGAAAAGATTCAGTGTAGGGTTTATATTGAAAATAAGTGTTCTATATATATGGTAGGCATATGTGAGCACATATTTTGTGCATTAAGTTCAAGCTTCTGAAGAGTGTGGGAGTATATTGTCTGACACTGGAATGGGTGATAGTCCACACAACAGTTTTTTTTGTTGGGTTATTAATAGTTTTAGGTTTGGTGTAGTAGATCCCAAGGCACAAATACCACAGGGAAGGTAAGGGTAGTTTAGAAAGTAATACAATGTAAGTACAGTGGAACCTTGGTACTTGAACTTAATTTGGTTCAGAAGTCTGTTCGAGTGCTGATCTGTTCGAGTATCGAATGAATTTTTGCCAACCAATTTTCTTTTTTGTTGGCTGTTATCACTAATGTTCTTAAGCCCCATGGGGATTTACTTATACAAATAATATAAAAAACACCAAAAAATGCAAAGAAACACAAAATAGTTTACATTGAAGTTCTGGCAAGTCGTGTTTGTTTGGTCAAATGCCGAGCAAACAGTTGACTACCGAGTGGTTTTTTTTTTTTTTTTTTTTTTTTTTTTTTTTTTTTTTTTTTAAATGAACAAAGCCTTCGAATACCGAATTGTTCGAATAGGGAGCTGTTCCGAGGTTCCACTGTAGTTTTGTTTGAGTTATACAGTAACATATCTTAGAGAGGATGCTTACTGTTGTGGAGACCTTGGCTATGTGTTGGATGTGGATGTTAAATTTCAAGTATGCATTCATGGTGGAGACCTAAGAATTTACCCTTGATATGTCTTGCAATGGAAGAACCATTGATCATTATGTTTTGTTGGCTATTTGAAGCTCTGTTCTATGGAAGCAAAAAGGGAAATGTATCAAGAGCTTAGTGGTATCACTCTTATATGGGTGCAAAGCATGGGTTTTAAATGTTAGTGAGGAGGAGACTGGAGGTAGTGGAGATGTCATGTATCAGGGCAGTGTTTGGTGTGATTATGCAGAGAATTTGTAGTGTAGAGATTAGGAGGTGCTGAGGAGAGGCTAATGAGGAAGTTTAGGCATTTAGAGAGGTTGAGGCAAAATAGGATGACTTGAAGGATATATAAATCTGTAGTGGAGGGAAGGTGGGTAGGGGTCATCCTAGGAAAGGTTGAAGGGAAGGGGTAAAGTAGGTTTTGTATGAGGGGCTTAGACATCCAGCAGGTGTGTGTGACTGTGTTAGATAGGAGTGAATGGAGGCAAGTGGTTTTTATGATTTGATGTGCTGTTGGAGTGAGCAAGGTAACATTTATGAAGTGATTCAGGGTAAACTGATTAGCTGGACTCAAGTCCTGTAACTGAGAAGTACAGTGCCTGCACCCTGAAGGAGAGGTGGGATATATAGTATTACTGTTTGGAGGAGTATCCTTGCTGTAATGTCGGGACACCTCTGGCAAGACTGTGATGGAGTGAGTGATGGTGAAAGTGTTTCTTCTTTTTTGGGTCACCTTACCTCAGTGGGAGATAGCCAGTGTGTTTAAAAAAAAAAAAAAAGATTCATAGAATATGGTTATAATTCACATCTGTGTATGAACATTAGAGTGAAAAAAAAAAAATGCATGCTACTTGGATTCTTTCCTTATGCTGTCTTAACTCTGCTGGTTCTGGCTTAATGGTCACTAAATTCTCATGATTCTGTAACATTTATAAAAAAAATCAAGCTCTATTTATTCCCTTTGTTCAATATATCCTTTACTAAATGGTACAGGTGCTGCCATAATAGTGTTTTAAAATCAGGTTAGCACCCCAGGGCTGAGTTATTTTAAGAGACAGTTTAGTGTGTATTATTTTATACGTACTTATACCCATCTTACAAATTCACCCCTGACGTATGTCTGGATATACAGAACGTGAATTTTATTTAAACAATATGAAATGCTTTTATACTTTTTGCAGATTCTCGTCCAAGGGTAGTCCAAAACCAGAGAGAAGGCACTTCAGTGCAGAAGCAGCTTCAATACCTGATATTCAAGTAAGTGTATATTTGATCTCAGACTTTACTATGATGCTCCTCTCAAAAACTATTATTATCCACTATTAAATTGGATATGTTAATACAGATAGTGAGTGAGAAATATAATATGAAGATAATAAATACAGTGGATGCTCTATTATCTACGATGAATGAAATGAGGAGTGATTGAATTAAAGAGCTGGCTGGTTATGGTAAATGCATCTAAGATTTAGGGTTGTACTTTTTTGTAATATTTAAATACAACACATCAGTATTTTTTCTCATATTTGATAAGTGTGTGGTGCGAATGTTATACAGGGAATTGAAAGTGTAGAAATAAGGAGTGGGGTTATGTTAGGCATAATTCAATGGGCAGTGGAGGGTTGCTCAGATTGTTTGATCATTTAAAAAGAGGATGGCACAGAATAAGACAAACAAGAGGATGTGTAAATCTGGAATAGATTTAAGAATGGATAGGAGTCATCCCAGGAAGTACTAGTGGGGTAAAAAATGCTTTAAGTAGTAGGGGTTTGAATATTCAGCAGGCACGTGCATGTGTGTTATAAGTGCTGTTGGAGTGTGAGCAAGGTAACATATAAAAAGATTAATGGATATTGGTAAGCTAGAGTACTGGAGCTTGAGTACTGGAGGTGGAAAGTAAACTGCTTGCACTCTGAAGGGGTGTTGGGAATGTTGCAGTGCAGAGGGCCATTTGACTTGTGATGTCCACACTTCTTGCAAGACGGCTAATAAATGAATGATTGCAACTGCATTTTCTGTGTCTGGGTCACTCTACTTTGGTGAGAGATGGACAGCTGTAAAAAAAAAAAAGTGTTCATGATCCACAGACAACTGAGGAAAAAACTTGACTCCAAAAGCTGCAACAAATAATTCACATTTCTTGGTCATATAATATGAAACAAAATAGGAACCCACCACACCTTCATCAAAAACTAAAATATAACAGAAATTAAAATTGTTTTTGTATCAAGTTAAACAATTGGTACACTGTATTTGATGATTGTAAAAAAAATCTTCCAATAAATATAATTATTTTTTTTTATTAATCAGAATGGTATAATGGAGCACAAGGAAACAACAGTTTGACAATATTGCATATATGTAATAGTAATTCTGGTAATAGTTCTCTCTATACAGATAAATGTTTGGTTATATGAATAAATATTTTCCAGAGTGGTGGTGAGAGCAAAGATGTCAATAATTGACTTCATCCATGAATACAATATTCTGTGGAAGTAGATTATATGTATGGGATTTTCTTATCTGACTTTTGATATTCTAAATTTTCATTTGGCTGGGTATGATAATCACATCTTGAGATATTCATTTTTTTTTTTTTTTGTAACACACCAAGGTAGGGTGACCCAAAAAAGAAGAAACATTTTCATGTTGATCTCTGTTTATAAAATTCACCATCATAGTAGACTACATATAATTTTATTGAAAATGTACATATAATTTTAGTGACATTGTATATATAATTTAATTCTTGCTTGATGCAAGTTGTACCATTTGTCATGCAGTACAGTATTTTGCCCTTGCTTTTAGTCATATTCCAATATACAGTAACTTTTGTCACCGTTTTCTTATGTGCATTGCAGTAGTAGTTAATGAGTAACCACAGTTTCATTATACAAACAATTAAGAAATATCTCAATCATAATTATAGGAAACATTCCATAAAATGAATTATAGGGGATGGAGTGTTTAATTTACCAAAGATTCTTTTATATTGACCATTTTAATTAAGCAGATGTAGTCTGCTTAATTGATCGACTACTGGGCATGGACAAATGCCCAACAGAACATGCTTAGTCTGCTGTATTGATGGATTACCAGACATACTAAGAATAAATTAGAGTACCATACAGTATTACCTGTAAATGTACCTGAAAAAATGGGTTAAAAATACAGCACAGTACAGTATAGTTGAGTACAATACAGTAATTTTTCTTGCCTTTTCTGGTAGATAGATGAGATTACAGATATACAAATAAAGTACAGTACAGTCTTGTTGGTGACCCAGAATACCTTAGTTCTGAGTCAGTGGACCTGTAAGGTTCCAGCAGTAACATTGCAGATGGTGTAGGTGACAGACAGTAGATGGTGAGAGAGATGTAGATGGTGTGGGAGATGAAGATGGTAGAAGATATAGATGGTTCAGAAGATGTAGATGGCTCAGGCTTACTGGTAGATAGTTTGGATGATGTAGAACAAGGAACAGGTTTAAAGAATGAGTCCAGCTTAATTTATATGGCTTGCTGATGCTCATCAGAATGAACATTCACACCAGCAGTGTGCTGTTCAGCATGCCATTGATGCAATGCTGCTTCAACCCTTATATCTTGGGCCATTTTCATGTTTCCTAAGAGTAAGTGAAGAATCTTTTAGGCTAGCATCTACACTGTACTTCATAACATATTGTGTAAGCTTTTCATTGCTTCTGTGAATGTTAGACACTGTTTTACTACACCATACTCCCCACACACCCAGACCACTGAAATGCCAACTTTCAGCTTCCTTATTAATTCAAGTTTCTGCTTAACAGTTAAGATTACACTCTTCTTGGCACCATCACTTGCTTTAGAGGCCATTGTTAATAACATTGTACATGGTACTTTAATAAAATTATTAAAAACACAGTAAATCCATGGGAAAAATTGGAGTTGAAATGGTGTGATTGTGCTCACAGGCAATAACATACTGACACAAGCAGTCACCAGCCCTGCTGTCCAGGGACAACGAAAGTGAACATGTCCAGGACAAACCTCAGACCATACAAACTTGCAATTAAATGTAGTTGGTCTATTTTATCAAATGTGCAACTGGACTGGATACTTGTTCAATATAGTGGATTTGGTCTGTTGCACAGCCATTTTAACTGGACACCCCATTAAATGTACATGTTGAGTCTTTGTCCAGCCATATTTTTTTGTCTGTTTCAACCGACATCCGCTTTATGGGGGTCCGTTTTATTGGACATTTACTGCATAAGGACGCTCTATAACTGTCTACTACATTATATCCTGTGATGTATTATTGTATGGCAGTACAAAAATTTCATTAAGTTAGATGTTTCGAGGAAATTCTACCAGTGAACGAGTCATTCCAGGACCTTTCTTCTGTTGCTGAAATTTGGTAGTTGCTGTGGAACATTTGCAGGGGTGAACCCTATCTCTTGGACTGGCTTCTAACTTTCACATAATTAAAATGAATTAGCTTTATTTATTTACATAGTTTAGGGATGATCCACTCAATGGTCATTTGGTTGAAGGTCCTCGGCTGCCTTACTGTTCCAGATTATGATAAATTAAAGATTACATTGTATATACAATGTTGGATCTTGGTCTGGAAGCATACTTTTGAACTTGATCGAATTTTGTTTAGTGTTTGGCTAGGCAACAGTTCTACTGTCACTGCATTCTCAAATATTGGTTGCATATGTGGTAAAGAGTGACTTTGAGTCATTCAGATTCTTCAAAGTCGTCCTTATATTTGCCAGTCTTCCATATTCTAATGATAAGATTTGGTAAACACTTAGGAAAACGTGTTTATTATAATGCTTACTCCTAGATTTTATTTCTTTGTTTAATACCATAAGCTGTGTTCCCTCTAAGCTGGTTCAGAAATAGTTAAAAGCCATGATGTTGATGTTTCTTATTTTTTAACTTTAGTTCTGGTAATTTTCCTAAAAACTATGTACTTGGTTTCCTTGTGTATTGGGGATTTTCTTGATGTCTTATTTTATCCCATGTTGTTATTGCACGAAGAGAAAATAGAAAGTATCATAGTGTTAGCTACACCATATGGAACCTCTTGGCATGCATTATTGATAATACTGTTTGATATTAAAATGATTTGGTGCAGAAATTGTACAACAAAATTATTTGAGATTTATCATTTGTCATAATACTCATTATATATGCAAACAATAGAACTATTGAAGATTATTAATAAAAGTATCTTTTACCACTCTTTCATGCACTTGTTTGCAGCACTTCCTTCAAAGTCGTTGTTAACTTCTGGGAAAATATGTTTTGTTTAAATTTCTCCACATCACAAATATAGCAGTCTTGTATGTAAGAGTTTGATTAAGAATTGATAAGGATTAAAGATATTAGAAAAACAAAACCCTGTAATATCACTAACATACTAACACCTGACCCACATTTTATCATGGTTTTCCTCTTTTCTTTTCTTTACAGTTGATCGATGAAGACATAGAAAATGTTTGATATGTTGGTGGATTGTACTCTGTTCTTAACTCATATTTAACACACTGCTTGTAATCTTTTTCTCACTGCATGGGGTAGTATTAATCTTTCTTTTTTGTGGAAGCTGTTTGAGAAACGATTACTTTGTATTGCATGGAAACTTGCATTGTAGTGTTAGTTATGTATGAACATTACATAAGTAGAACAAATAAGGAATTGTTTGTATAAATAAACAAATTTGTACTTTTTAAAGAGAAGGTACATTTAATCATTTACTATTCAATAATAGTTCAAAATCTCTTGAAACTGAATATGTACTTACGATAAGAGTATCTCATAGGCTATGCATATATATACATGTACTTCAGCTCAATTGAAGACTTTTTTAAAAATATGGTACAATATATGGTGTATTGCTATAGTGATGGTAACAGTGCACGTACACTGAAAGATGTAGCATAAGATTATTTATGGCAATTTAAATCTAAATTAGTTGACGCATTCATAAAATATATTGGTTGAACTTATTTCTTCATAAGAGGTGTGCTCAGGTACATCTGTTATGTTACCTAATGTATTGTTTTATTAAAACAAAGATAAAATTATGATAAATTGTAATTCTATGATATTTGTATGTGTAATTAATTTATATATTTTTCATTTGCAAATCATGAGGTTGCAATAATATAATTTTAATGTGCTGTGGACAGCTAAACAAGGTTTATGGAAGACAGTATTTTATTGAAGACATCTCCCAGAATAAATATTTCCAATTAGAGGGAAATAGATAAAATTACTGTATATTACAGCACAGTAAACAATATAGTAGTCTTAGTCTGCCATTGTCATCATTATCCATTCTTGTACTGTATTAGAAAACTGAAGAATAGTATCACATGCGTTGATCTAGTTTATGTAGTTGATAACTAGTGTTAAGGATACTTAGAAATAAAAGCTAAAAAAAAAATTTCAGAAATAAAAATGAGTTAATGTTTTCCAAGAACTATATTAGTTAAATTAATTAATTATCATATTATTATATACTATATATAATTATTTTAACATGCTGGCCAATTCACACCAAGGCAGGGTGACCCGAAAAAGAAACGCCTTCACCATCATTTACACTATCATTGCCTAGCCAGAGCCATTAGCATTTCAATATTCAATACTTAAAAGAAATAATAATCATGGCAACATTTAGTATTTAAGTGCTGCAGCAATTAAAGTTGTATATTTCCATAAATTGCCCATTTTATAACAGATTTAAGGAATCATTACTGATGGGGCATTATTGTGAACTGTCCATATGATGAAAGCAGTATACCAATATCAGTATTAATAAGAGAAACATGCAGTAAAATTAATTTTAAATATCTATTATAGTATTAAACTATTGCAGGGTATGATTTTCTCATGCAACATTTACCTCTCGTACATAATTTTTTGTCTTAACTTATGATTGGATTATGTCATTCAGTAGACTTAGAATATCTTGGGTGCCATTCTGCCTGTGCATGTTATATATGTCTTAAGTAGTAAATTTTATTTAACAGTAGGATAGTAGACACATGTTGCTTTTTATTTAACAGAATCCTTTAACGTTTATCACTGTTCATAAAGTACTCTGAAGTTTTTCTTTGCTTTTTTTTATGTTAGCATATTTGTTTTTGTTTGCCCCAACACAGTCAAGCATATCAGAAGAGGCCAAAGAAGTGTACAACTCACTGGTGGAACGGCCAGGATTGGATTGTGAGCCACCAGCTTACCGCAGTGAACCCCGCAGTGAACCTGAGCCACTAGTAAGTGAGCCAGAACCTGCGGAACACAACCCACTGCGAATGTTACGTGCTGGTGTCACTGTTAGACCCAAGATAAGGGGAAACAAGCACAATTTTAGCTCAGGGTTCAGTACAATTGAAAGAAGTCATGGAATGAGAGCTGGTGTTAAGGAAGGACTGACCACAGCACCTAACAATAATGCCATCGAACTGACAACTCATCAGACCTTACCCAAAGGTTTCAAGCATAGCAAGGTTCCACCACCAGTAAAACCAAAGCCTTCCCCACTAGTTATACCCAACTCTGCATATGGAGCTGCAAATGAATCAACTGGGGAGAGTAGCACTACTCCAGATACCATTAGCCCTGACGGAAACAATCAAGATGCCATAAATCTACTTCCATTACCTCCCCGAGATCGCACAAGAGCAGTTACTTCTCTTACTAAACCCAGACATCAACGCAAGCACCCATTAATCATTCCTGGGGGAGTGACTAACTCCTTGTTACGTGGTGGGGGTCATGTCCCAGCTCTAGCAAGTGTGTCTGATAAAGCAGAACACAGCAGCAATCGTCTTGTCATTCAGCACACACACAATCCTCAGCTTGAGTCTCACAGTTCAACTTCTTCCACCACTGCAAGTGGATCACCTGTTGTGGATGGTCTGGTTAATGAAGAGGGTACAAACTCACCCGGACCAAGATTACCTCCAGCTAAACCTCCCAGATTATTCACGTGAGTATATTGGATGACTTTGAATGTGTGTGTGTGTTTGTGTGAGCATGTCAGACTGAACCAAAAGTTACTGTACATAAAAGCATTTATGTCATTGGATGACTATTGGTGATAAATAATATTTAATATTGTACAGTTTTTGTAGTTTAGGGTATTTATGATGTATGATGCATAATTTTTAAAAATATGACCCAGCATGATAGTGGCTTTCTTTGTACTTAGCAAACCAAAATTGTAATTACACATTTTAACCTTTACAAAGAAATAAATCTTTATCTTTATCTAAATACAAGTAATAAAAAGTCATTTGAATCAGCTGGGAAAGTCAGACATCTGTGTGTGACATTCTTTCAACAAAAATATAGTATTAAATGAGTAAATTGGCACAAGAGTAGGTTCAGGAGACACCACATTTAATTTGGTAAGTTGCAGTTGAGAGAGAGGAGGGAGGGGAGAAGAGAAGGGTGTACTCATATGCATGCTTACATACATATATATATCCAGTAGGTCCTCTACCACTTTGTGAGAAATGGCAAATGGCACCATTCATGAAAATGCGATGTGTAGAGTGAGCAAAATGTGGATAAAATTGGGTTATGTTCCATGGCACCTTGAAAAACTCCAGATAACTTTTAACCCTTTCACTGTCGGTGACGTATAGGTACGGCTTACAAGCCAGTGTTGGTGACATATTAATACCCCAAAATTCTAACGGCTTCAAATCTAGCAGGAGAAATCTGGTAGACCTACATGTGAGAGAATGGGTTTGCATGGTCAGTGTACCCAGTATAAAAAAATCTTGCAGCACGCAGTGCATAATGAGAAAGAAAAACTCCAACTGTGTTTTTGGATTATAACTCCGACTTTGAGGTGTATTTTCGTGTAGAATTTATGGTTGTATTCTCGTTTTCTTGGTCTCATTTGATAGAATGGAAGCTATATTACAGAAATGGAGATTATTTTGATTGGTTTTACGATGAAAAGTACCTTGAAATTGAGCTCAAAGTAGCGGAAATGTTCGATTTTTGCCAATGTTCAAGAGTAAACAAATGATGTCACCGTCCACTACATGTCCAACTGGCCAGTCTAATATGCAGTCACGAATGGGTTGACATTATTTATACAATTATATAATACTATAGTAGTCTGCATAACAGTAAATCTTCTATTTTTTGTGTGAATAAAAATTCAAAATGGAAAACAAGAGTAATATAAGAGGGGCCTGGAGACGTGACTAATGACCAGAGAAAATGTTATTTTAGTGCCAGGAATGTCTGCATTGTTTTTTCTGGACCCTGTTTTGAAATTGGCATCTTTTGAAATTTGTGTGAAATTGGCCAAATTATCAATTTCTGACAACTTTATTGAGTAATTGAAGTTGGTAAATGGGTGGTTTCTTGTACTCAGTTGATAGAACAAACGAGGTTCTAGAGAAATAGCTATGAGTTTGGAACAAAGGATTTTTTTTTTTTTTATTATCACACCGGCCGATTCCCACCAAGGCAGGGTGGCCCGAAAAAGAAAAACTTTCACCATCATTCACTCCATCACTGTCTTGCCAGAAGGGTGCTTTACACTACAGTTTTTAAACTGCAACATTAACACCCCTCCTTCAGAGTGCAGGCACTGTACTTCCCATCTCCAGGACTCAAGTCCGGCCTGCCGGTTTCCCTGAATCCCTTCATAAATGTTACTTTGCTCACACTCCAACAGCACGTCAAGTATTAAAAACCATTTTGTCTCCATTTACTCCTATCAAACACGCTCACGCATGCCTGCTGGAAGTCAAGCCCCTCGCACACAAAACCTCCTTTACCACCCTCCCTCCAACCCTTCCTAGGCCGACCCCTACCCCGCCTTCCTTCCACTACAGACTGATACACTCTTGAAGTCATTCTGTTTCGCTCCATTCTCTCTACATGTCCGAACCACCTCAACAACCCTTCCTCAGCCCTCTGGACAACAGTTTTGGTAATCCCGCACCTCCTCCTAACTTCCAAACTACGAATTCTCTGCATTATATTCACACCACACATTGCCCTCAGACATGACATCTCCACTGCCTCCAGCCTTCTCCTCGCTGCAACATTCATCACCCACGCTTCACACCCATATAAGAGCGTTGGTAAAACTATACTCTCATACATTCCCCCTTTTGCCCCAAGGACAAAGTTCTTTGTCTCCACAGACTCCTAAGTGCACCACTCACTCTTTTTCCCTCATCAATTCTATGATTCACCTCATCTTTCATAGACCCATCCGCTGACACGTCCACTCCCAAATATCTGAATACGTTCACCTCCTCCATACTCTCTCCCTCCAATCTGATATTCAATCTTTCATCACCTAATCTTTTTGTTATCCTCATAACCTTACTCTTTCCTGTATTCACCTTTAATTTCTTCTTTTGCACACCCTACCAAATTCATCCACCAATCTCTGCAACTTCTCTTCAGAATCTCCCAAGAGCACAGTGTCATCGGCAAAGAGCAGCTGTGACAACTCCCACTTTGTGTGTGATTCTTTATCTTTTAACTCCACGCCTCTTGCCAAGACCCTCGCATTTACTTCTCTTACAACCCCATCTATAAATATATTAAACAACCACGGTGACATCACACATCCTTGTCTAAGGCCTACTTTTACTGGGAAAAAATTTCCCTCTTTCCTACATACTCTAACTTGAGCCTCACTATCCTCGTAAAAACTCTTCACTGCTTTCAGTAACCTACCTCCTACACCATACACTTGCAACATCTGCCACATTGCCCCCCTATCCACCCTGTCATACGCCTTTTCCAAATCCATAAATGCCACAAAGACCTCTTTAGCCTTATCTAAATACTGTTCACTTATATGTTTCACTGTAAACACCTGGTCCACACACCCCCTACCTTTCCTAAAGCCTCCTTGTTCATCTGCTATCCTATTCTCCGTCTTACTCTTAATTCTTTCAATTATAACTCTACCATACACTTTACCAGGTACACTCAACAGACTTTTTTTTTTTTTTTTTTTTTCAACAAACCGGCCGTATCCCACCAAGGCAGGGTGGCCCAAAAAGAAAAACGAAAGTTTCTCTTTTTAAATTTAGTAATTTATACGGGAGAAGGGGTTACTAGCCCCTTGCTCCTGGCATTTTAGTTGCCTCTTACAACACGCATGGCTTACGGAGGAAGAATTCTGTTCCACTTCCCCATGGAGACTCAACAGACTTATCCCCCTATAATTTTTGCACTCTCTTTTATCCCCTTTGCCTTTATACAAAGGAACTATGCAAAGGGGATAAAAGAGAGTGCAAAAAGGAATTGGCTGAAAATAGGGCTCAAGGTCTGCAAACTCGCCGATGAGTATATGTACAGTGGACCCCCGCATAACGATCACCTCCGAATGCGACCAATTATGTAAGTGTATTTATGTAAGTGCGTTTGTACGTGTATGTTTGGTGGTCTGAAATGGACTAATCTACTTCACAATATTCCTTATGGGAACAAATTCGGTCAGTACTGGCACCTGAACATACTTCTGAAGTGAAAAAATATCGTTAACCGGGGGTCCACTGTATATCACTGAGATCGCTAACTTCACGTAATTCCATAGTTTTCCATCAAATTTCGTACTTTTGGTGTCATTACCATCAGGAAAAGATTTTTTTTTTTTTAAATTCTTCGACACTGAAAGCAAGTTTGTGAGCAGGGGTCTCGACAGCGAAATGGTTAAATTTGAGATTCACCTAAAGTAATTATTGTGCAATGATCTTGAAAGTCACACACATGTTATAGGAACATTAAAAAGTGTAGTTACAGAGTAATACAAAATTATTTAAGCTAGCATAACCTAATAAGTCAAACAATGTGAGTATTTCTTACCTTAAATTAAGGAACTTCGTGTCAGTGGAGAGAATGACAGGTGATCTTGGAATGAGGTGGATGGCTGGGGGTTCATGGGTTTAGGTCAACAGAGAGTTGTAGTCAGCAGTGGCACTAAGTTTTATGTTAAGCTTGCTGCTAACTCTTAAAACAATTAAACCAACCATGACTAAAGGTACACTGTTTTGCAGGCTTTCTGTTCTTACACACTATTTGACAGGACAAAGGCTTTCTCATGGATCATAAGCTAAATAAGTGGGGCACTTTTCTTAATTTGCTGCTTGAATCCAGTCATTCCTTTTTTTTATTTATTTATTTATTTATTTATTTATTAGCTGTATTGACTGTTTTCCTATTTTTTAACAGGTCAAAATTTGGGTTAGTTATTGCACAAGCTCTCATTCTCTCTTGTTGTTATCTAGAATTGAACATACTATTGATTCTCACACCGAAGGCTTGGGCTGCATCCATCACACATGTACTACCTCACTTTTCTTCTCTAGAGGCATAGTTTCATGCTTACACTTGTTGGCATCTTCACCAACACTAGATTTACTTTTAAATGTAATGATTAATGTCCAGACACAACAGAGGGTGATGAAAAGATCAGAAATAGAATGATTACACAAGAGAGAACAGTTGTATGGTATGCATTCACTAGGCAACTCTGTGTGTACTCACCTAATTGTACTCGCCTAATTGTGGTTGCAGGGGTCGAGACTCAGCTCCTGGCCCCGCCTCTTCACTGATTGCTACTAGGTCCTCTCTCTCTCTGCTTCCTGAGCTTTATCATACCTCTTCTTAAAACTATGTATGGTTCCTGCCTCCACTACTTCACTTGCTAGGCTATTCCACTTCCTGACGACTCTATGACTGAAGAAATACCTCCTAACGTCCCTGTGACTCGTCTGAGTCTTCAGCTTCCAGTTGTGACCCCTTGTTCCTGTGTCCCCTCTCTGGAACATCCTATCTCTGTCCACCTTGTCTATTCCCCGCAGTATCTTGTATGTCGTTATCATGTCTCCCCTGACCCTTCTGTTCTCCAGTGTCGTCAGTCCGATTTCCCTCAACCTTTCCTCGTACGACATTCCCCTGAGCTCTGGGACTAGCCTTGTTGCAAACCTTTGTACTTTCTCTAACTTCTTGACGTGCTTGACCAGGTGTGGGTTCCAGACTGGTGCTGCATACTCCAGTATGGGCCTAACATAACACAGCGTACAGTGTCTTGAACGATTCCTTATTAAGGTATCGGAACGCTATTCTCAGGTTTGCCAGGCGCCCGTATGCTGCAGCAGTTATTTGGTTGATGTGTGCCTCCGGTGACGTGCTCAGTGTTATGGTCACCCCGAGGTCTTTCTCCCTGAGTGAGGTCTGTAGTCTTTGTCCACCTAGCCTATACTCTGTCTGCGGTCTTCTTTGCCCCTCCCCAATCTTCATGACTTTGCATTTGGCAGGATTGAATTCGAGAAGCCAGTTTCTGGACCACATGTCCAGCCTGTCCAGGTCTCTTTGCAGTCCTGTGTGTGTGTGTGTGTGTGTGTTGTGTGTGTGTGTGTGTGTGTGTGTGTGTGTGTGTGTTGTGTAAAGTGTGGTGTAAAGTGTGTGTGTAAAAGTGTGTGTGTAAAAGTGTGTGTGTGTGGTGTGTGTGTGTGTGTGTGTGTGTGTGTGTGTGTGTGTAAAAGTGTGTGTGTGTGTGTAAGTGTAATCACCACAGAGTAATGGAGAAAAATTCAAATACAGTATAATGTGAGCCTTTATTGACAACGTTTTTGCCCACACGTTTTGTCACAGACAGATCTACCTGGGGAGAAAGGATATGCATATATATGTAGTGAGTGTAGTTAACCTGAAGAGTCAGGTAAGTTATGTTGCAACACAAATAAGGCTGAGGAGATGTTGGATTTGAGAAGGTCCTGTCTAGTATGGGCCAGTAGGCCTGCTGCAATGTTTATGTAAACTGTGACCTGTTACTATGTGGGATAGTGATTTTTATATCATTTCTCTTCACCATGGAGTGATGCTATGTCTACTGTGAAACAAAAGAGGCCCAAGGCATATAGGAGGGAAATATACCTCCTGCACCACTACGATAGGTGGCCACTTTGAAGCAAAAAGTAGAAAAAGGCAGCAAAAAATCAGGAATTGGCAGAAATACTGTAGCTTGAGTTGCAATAGGGGATGGGGGTCTACTTTATGTATAAATGACTACTAACAACTTTTTTTAATTGAGTGATTGCCTCCTTACAGAAGCATTCTTATGTTTGGAAATTGTACAATAAATTTTATGTAGAAGCCAAGAAATTATACTGCACTTTGCTAATATACTGCATATATAGTATATTTCATATATAGACTGTGGCACATAACTTGTTAATTTTAACTAAATATTGCTCTTTCATTTTAGCATGCATCAAGCATCTGCTGTATTATATTTATTTTCATATTAAATAAAGCTGCTGTAAAAAGTTTGTATCACGAATTGAGCTGTAAGAGCACCACCATTTCCAGCTTTATTGTGCAAGAAACAGGATCCTAAGTTTCTAGTTTAAGTTAAATAATATTGCATTGTAAATCGTCTAACATTTATCTTGCAGTTTCCTGTAATAAACCTCATAGTTTTAGTTCCATCTTATATTTTTATAACATTTCTTAGCTTCAGCTTTGTCGTGTAATTTCTGGCTATGTATCTGTTTCATCTTGTAATAACTTGCAATATAACTGCCTTTTTCAATTTAGCCTTTTAATTTCTTGAAACAGAAGTCCGAGTGCCCTGGATGACAGTTTTGAAAGTCAAGTGGCTAGCGAGATGGATGCTTTGGATGACATACAGGAAGAAGATCAGAGTGTTTCGCCTTTAGGACCTTTACCTCCACCTTTTCCTAACCCCGAATCATTCACTAACACTTCTGACCATCACATAACTATTAATGGCTTTGGAGAGGGCCCAGGAGGGGGAAGTGGATCATTGTATCAGTCTGGAGACCATGTGTCCTGCGAGGACCTCCTGGACTTTGCTATGGACCGACCCAACTCCAGACGAACTCAGGGACCAGCACGAGGCACCCAGTCTGATGAGGTTCACATAATGCAAAAAGTTTTGAAAAATGAGGTTTGTGTAAAATCTTGTTAAAAATTTTGTAAATTATTGAATTATCTGATAATGTAACTTAACGTAATAGCTTTAAAAGATTGCTTTATAATACTGTAATCTTAATAATTTGGTCCTTTAATAATTGACAAATTTTATTACATCACTACCCATACATTCCCCTCCTCCTTCCTCTACCCTTGAAGAATATTTTTGGATTAAACTTGAGAATCTGTTTCTTTATACAGTGCTGTTGTTAACCCTTTGAGGGTTCGTCCCATAGTTCTACTGCTTTGAAGCCAGGGTCCAAGCTATAGTACAACGTCATGAGCTCAGCTCACTCAGATAAGCTGTGAGCGGTAAATTTGGGCCTAGAGAGAATGCATCTGTATGGTAAGTGTGCACCATATAAAACAAATCCTGGAGCACTCCATGTATAATGAGAAAAAACTGCCACTGTGTTTTTGGTTTAAAACCTATTTTGTGGTGTATTTTCATATGTTTTTTATGGCTGTATTCACAGTGTCTTGGTCTCATTTGATAGAATGGAAGATATATTACAGAAATAGAGATGATTTTGATTTTTTTTTACTCAGAATAGCTTGAAATTGAGCTCAAAGTAGTTGAAATGTTTGATTTTTGCCAAAGTTCAAGAATAAACAAATCACATCATGCATCCAATACATGTCAGCTGGTGGGTCTAATGTGCATTCACGAATGCGCTGATATTATTTATACAATTATTACAATATTGAATAACAATAAATCTTTTATCTTTTGGTGTGAATAAAACTTCTTTCTTTCATTCAACACACTGGCCATATCCCACCGAGGCGGGGTGGCCCAAAAGGAAAAACGAAAGTTTCTCCTTTTACATTTAGTAATATATACAGGAGAAGGGGTTACTAGCCCCTTGCTCCTGGCATTTTAGTCGCCTCTTACAACACGCATGGCTTACGGAGGAAGAATTCTGTTCCACTTCCCCATGGAGGTAAGAGGAAATAAACAAGAACAAGAACTAGTAAGAAAATATAAGAAAACCCAGTGGGGTGTGTATATATATGCTTGTACATGTATGTGTAGTGTGACCTAAGTGTAAGTAGAAGTAGCATGACGTACCTGAAACCTTGTATGTTTATGAGACAGAAAAATGAACACCAGCAATCCTACCATCATGTAAAACAATTACAGGCTTTCGTTTTACACTCGCTTGGCAGGACGGTAGTACCTCCCTAGGTGGTTGCTGTCTACCAACCTACTACCTGGAAAACTTCTTTATATGAATAAAAAATGAAAATGGAATTCATGTGTAAAGCCCGGAAACATAACTAATAAACAGAGGAAATGTTATTTTAGTGCCAGGAATGCCTGCATTGTTTATTCTGGATCTTATTTTGAAATTGGAATATTTTGAACTTTGTGTGAAATTGGCCAAATTATCAATTTCCGATCACTTTATTGGGTAGTTGAAATAGTTGATTGGGCTATTTCTTGTGCTCAGTAGATAAAATGGAACACATACTAGCAAAATAGCTAAGAATTTGGTCTAATGGAACAATGTAATTGGCCAAAAATAGGACTCAAATTTGACAAAATGACCATTGCGTAAGTATCTCTGACACAGTAAAATTCGTGAGAGCTTAATTTCGTCAGTTTTCCATTAAATTTCATACTTTTTGTTTTATTATCTTCATGAAAAGATTTTCTACTATTTCATAAGAAAAAAGAAAAAAATTTTTTTTAAATTCTTGGATCCTATGGACAAGTTTCAGATAGGGGGTCTGGACCCTGGCAGGGTTAAACACTGTTTGTGAATGTAATATACAGAGCAAATGGGTTAGCTTAATTTTTTTTTTTTTAATATGAGGGATGTTTATATTTAATTATTTTCATAACCCTTGTAAATTTAGGTATTAAATAAACACTTTAAAACCCTTACTCTAAGATAATTACAACTAGATGTACTGTAACTAGGGAGCAGTGACATTTATACGTACCTCTATACTGATGTATTTTTTCCCGCTCACTTTTAAGCCATATGTAAATTTTGATGCGCCATTTTAGTGGAGCATGGAATGTATGGATTTTGCATTAGTTTCATGCCAAAATGTAAATGGGTTATAAAGATAAGCTAAACGAAACAGACACCACATGCCCATATACCAGTGATTTGCAAAATAATACATTTCCTTAACTTGTCACATTTCTGTAGCTTCAGAATAACTTTTAAGTACCAAAAAATCAATGGTGCTAAGAAATCTTAATTTTATCTTAATGCTTTATATAGTCACCTCTCCTTTCTTCTTAATCAAGTATGTATTAGTTGTTGTAACTCTCTCTAGCTCATTTTTTTTAATCATGGTCATTTTGTATCATATCTTTGAACCTTTTCAATCATATCAACTTGGTTTTGGTGCAACATATATTGTTAGTTACTTTATCAGCATTTCATCATATCAAATTATTTATAGGTTCTGTCAATCTTAAATATTTTTATCACACAAGCTATATTCTTTTTTTTTTTTTTTCAACAAGTCGGTTGTCTCCCACCGAGGCAGGGTGACCCAAAAAAGAAAGAAAATCCCCAAAAAGAAAATACTTTCATCATTCAACACTTTCACCACACTCACACATTATCACTGTTTTTGTAGAGGTGCTCAGAATGCAACAGTTTAGAAGCATACACATATAAAGATACACAACATATCCCTCCAAACTGCCAATATCCCAAACCCCTCCTTTAAAGTGCAGGCATTGTACTTCCCATTTCCAGGACTCAAGTCCGACTATATGAAAATAACCGGTTTCCCTGAATCCCTTCACTAAATATTACCCTGCTCACACTCCAACAGATCGCCCAATCCCAAGTACCATTCGTCTCCATTCACTCCTATCTAACACGCTCACGCACGCTTGCTGGAAGTCCAAGCCCCTTGCCCACAAAACCCCCCTTTAAACCCCCTCTCTCCAACCCTTTCGAGGACGACCCTACCCCGCCTTCCTTCCCCTATAGATTTATATGCTTTCCATTTCCATCCTACTTTGACCCATTCTCTCTAAATGAACCAAACCACCTCAACAACCCCTCTTTGCCCTCTGACTAATATTTTTTATTAACTCCACACCTTTTTCCTAATTTCCCACACTCCGAATTTTCTGCATAATATTTACACCACACATTGCCCTTAAACAGGACTTTCTCCACTGCTCCAACCGTCTCCTCGCTGCTGCATTTACCACCCAAGCTTCACACCCATATAAGAGTGTTGGTACTACTATACTTTCATACATTCCCTTCTTTGCCTCCATAGATAACGTTTTTTGACTCCCCCTATACCTCAACGCACAACTCCCTTTTTTCCCTCATCAATTCTGTGATTAACCTCATCCTTCATAAATCCATCCGCCGACACTCAATCCCAAGAAATCTGAAAACATTCACTTTTTCCATACTCCTCCCCCCCAAATTTTGATATCCAATTTTTCTTTATCTAAATCATTTGATACCCTCATCACCTTACTCTTTTTTATGTTCACTTCAATTTTCTACCTTTACACACATTCCCAAACTCATCCACTAACCTTTGCAATTTTTTCTTTAGAAACTCCCATAAGCACAAAAATCATCAGCAAAAAGTAACTGTGTCAATTCCCATTTGAATTTGATTCCCCAAAATTTAATCCCACCCCTCTCCCGAACACCCTAGCATTTACTTCCTTTACAACCCCAATCTATAAATATATTAAACAACCATGGTGACATTACACATCCCCGTTTTTAAGACCTACTTTTACTGGGAAGTAGTCTCCCTCTCTTCTACACACCCTAACCTGAGCCTCACTATCCTCATAAAAACTCTTTACAGCATTTAATAACTTACCACCTATTCCATACACTTGCAACATCTGCCACATTGCTCCTCTATCCACTCTATCATATGCCTTTTCTAAATCCATAAATGCATTAAAAACTTCCCTACCTTTATCTAAATACTGTTCACATATATGCTTCAATGTAAACACTTGATCTACACATCCCCTACCCACTCTGAAACCTCCTTGCTCATCCGCAATCCTACATTCTGTCTTACCTCTAAGTCTTTCAATTATAACCCTACCGTACACTTTTCCTGGTATACTCAGTAAACTTATTCCTCTATAATTTTTACAGTCTCTCTTGTCCCCTTTCCCTTTATATAAAGGGACTATACATGCTCTCTGCCAATCCCTAGGTACCTTCCCCTCTTTCATACATTTATTAAACAAAAGTATCAACCACTCCAACACTATATCCCCCCCTGCTTTTAACATTTCTGTCATGATCCCATCAGTTCCAGCTGCTTTACCCCCTTTCATTCTACGTAATGCCTCGCGTACCTCCCCCACACTTACATTTTGCTCTTCTTCACTCCTAAAAGATGGTATAACTCCCTGACCAGTGCATGAAATTACTGTATCTCTCTTTCTTCCTTAACACTTAAAAGTTCCTCAAAATATTCTTGCCATCTACCTAATACCTCCATCTCCCCATCTACTAACTCTCCTACTTTGTTTTTAACTGACAAATCCATACTTTCCCTAGGCTTTCTTAACTTGTTTAACTCACTCCAAAATTTTTTCTTATTTTCATTAAAATTTCTTGACAGTGCCTCTCCCACTCTATCATCTGCTCTCCTTTTGCACTCTCTCACCACTCTCTTTACCTTTCTTTTACTCTCCATATACTCTGCTCTTCTTATAACACTTCTGCTTTGTAAAAACCTCTCATAAGCTACCTTTTTCTCTCTTATCACACCCTTTACTTCATCATTCCACCAATCACTCCTCTTTCCTCCTGCCCCCACCCTCCTATAACCACAAACTTCTGCCCCACATTCTAATACTGCATTTTTAAAACTATTCCAACCCTCTTCAACCCCCCCACTACTCATCTTTGCACTAGCCCACCTTTCTGCCAATAGTCGCTTATATCTATATTCATGTGGTCTGTTATTGCTTTCTCTTCCATTACATTATGCTTA